GAAACAGTACCATGGTGGGACTAACTTTGACCGAACTTCTGGCGGACCATTCATCTCAACAAGTTATGATTACGATGCACCAATTGATGAGTATGGTACGCAGATTTTCTAGTTTCCATGATCAATCTTTTGATGGAAATTTGGAATCTTTCATTTCTGTTGCAGTGTTATTATTGACATTTTATAGGCATCACATTTATACTACCAAAAAGAAACAGTTCAGTACATACAGCAAATATGCTTCTTGTTCACACGGACGAAAATTGGTGTTGACAGGTTTTATTTGTGATAACCAAAAATATCTTAATTGCATGGTGCAGGAATTGTGAGACAGCCGAAGTGGGGACACCTCAAAGATGTGCATAAGGCCATAATGCTTTGTGAAGAAGCGTTGATAGCCACTGATCCCCAAATTAAATCGCTTGGTCCAAATCTAGAGGTATATGTGGTCCTTATTGGAATTATTGGTCCTATTAAATTAGCTTGCTCATGCCTCTTGCATAATAATACAGTATCTGGATAAACTTAATTATATTTTTATTCAAATATGTAAGTTTCTGTCCTGGAGATGCTATGTTTGGACTTTAAAGTTTTGGCATAATTATCTCTATATGTGGTGAGCCATTTTCATGGTTTTCTACAGTCCCATTCCTTTACAAGATCCTGAGAGTTTAGTGATTGTGGCAGCATGTTGCTTTCCCTTGTTAGATTTAGAAAGTTTTAATCTTTTGTTTCTATATTAATATACAACTTTTATTATTTAAATCCAGGCTGCAGTTTACCGGGCAGGATCTACGTGTGCTGCGTTTCTTGCCAATGTGGGCACCTCATCTGATGCAACAGTAAATTTCAATGGCAATTCCTATCACTTGCCTGCCTGGTCTGTGAGCATTTTACCAGACTGCAAGAATGTAGCGCTCAATACTGCAAAGGTTTGCTTCATCAACTTCAGTTCCGTGGTCACTTTGTCTTATTGATGGCTGATCCTTTGGCTACAAATGTGACGATGATGATCCACCTAACTAAAATCGATGGTCCAGTTGGCTGAACGTATTTTAAAAATTGCATTCAATATTTATATTGCTATTATTCTGGCAACCGTCAAGATACCTTTATGTTCTTTGCTAGTCCAAGAAGGGCATGGAATAAAGTTCTAACTCTCCGCATGATAGGTTAATTCTCTCTCTACCATTTCAAGCTTCACGAGAGAAATTTTCAAAGAAGACAGTGATTCTTTAGAAGGTTCTAGTTCCGGGTGGAGTTGGACAAGTGAAACAGTAGGTATTTCAAAAGATGATGAATTCTCAAAAGTTGGATTACTGGAGCAAATAAATACAACAGCAGATAGAAGTGACTATTTGTGGTACTCATTGAGGTAAACTGGCCTCTAGTTTACGCAGCTACCTCCTAACCCATAATCATCCTCTCCATGATGCTATTTTTCTCCTTTTTTGTTACTTTTTTTAGCATTGATCTTGATGATGATGGTGGGCCTCAAACTGTCCTTCACATCGAATCACTTGGTCATGCCCTCCATGCATTTATCAATGGGAAGCTTGCAGGTAAATAACATTGAAAGCAATGAGAACTAACATGGCAGTAATTTTGTATATTTGTTGTCTCTCAAAATTTGGCATAGTATTCCAGCCAAAAAAATAATTTGGGATGGTCTGGGTCTATCATTCTTGGATGTGCCTTCCTAGATTGCTCATAGATTTTCTTCAATTAAACTTTCTACGAATTATATAGAAATAGAAATACCAATCCATGACATTATTGCAAACTTTTCAGGGAGTGGAGTCCGTGATGCTGCCAAAAAGTTGGATGTTCCTGTAACTCTTGTGGCTGGGAAGAACACTATTGATCTCCTGAGTCTAACTGTGGGACTTCAGGTTGAAACATAAAACTTCATTTGCAACATGCATTGGCTTATTATTTTTCATTTCTTAATGCTACATAAATCAATGTGAACCTTGCTTGCACACGGCAGAACTATGGAGCCTTTTTTGACACATGGGGTGCTGGAATAACTGGCCCTGTTAGATTGAACGGTTTGAAAAATGGGAGCACTCTTGATCTCTCCTCCCAGCAGTGGACATATCAGGTTCCTCTCAGCTTAACCAAAAGCCTATTCCTTTCTTTCTGCTTATGCTGAAGTGGTAGCAAAACATTCGTCCCTGATAGGGGAATAAAAAACTTAACAGTCCGTTTAACTTGGCAAGATTATTCTTACTTTATTACCTTAAAAAATGAATGGGTTTAACTCTCTAAAAGTTTGCGGTTGATGATGCATGTCGGAGAATATTTCTGGTTAGGAATGAAGAAAAAGATGCAGGAAAGAGTCTGAGAGAAAGATAAAACCTCTGCAGAAGCTTTTCTCAGAACGACATTTGTTTTTGCTCATTTATCTGGAGCAACAAGAAACAAAAGAGTTCCATTAAATTGATTGACTCAATTGATATGCTAAAAAAATCAACGTTACCAACTTAAGGAACTGATTTGAATAGTTTGAAACTTCCATCTTTTTACCTCTTCGTTCATCAATGCCTGAGACAGCACTTTGTTGTCATGACTCTTGGATACAGGTTGGTCTTCAAGGTGAACAATTAGGTCTTTCTGATGGTAGTTCTGGAAACTGGAACTCACAGTCTACCTTACCTAAGAATCAACCATTGACTTGGTACAAGGTAATCTTACTTGCCTGGTGGTTGGAACAATGAGACATGGTTGCCTCCTATAATTGGCCGTGCTTTATATCTGGCCACAGATTATTTCTTGCATTTTCAGATACATGAGACTAGTCCGCATTTTATATACAACCAATAATGTCTGTCTGCAGATATATATTGTTAAGTTCTCATATTCATCAGCTAATTCCCTTGATAGCTTAAGCATACACAGTGTTTTGGGACCTGTTTGGTTCACTCTTGCTTGGGTGAGAGCATGAAAGCATGTCTCAGTGTGTAATTTAGTTTGAGTGAAATTCATGTATAAAGGAAAGATTAAAAGTTCAGGCATATGATTAATTGCGATTCTTAACCAATGATGCCAGAAAAGAGAAGGGAACGGATTTTTTTTTTTTTTTTTTTGGCCAGAAGGGGACGGAATTTCAAGTCTTGGCTAATCTTCCCCTTATATTTTTCTTTCTCTATCACCCATCATTCACAATTTTTGCAACTATGAATCTATGATACTGAAAACCCCATAACCTCATTGGCTAGTGTATATGTTTGATTGGTGACAAGCATTTTAAAGTTTTTGACTTTATGGTTCTCTTGTAACTAGATAATGCAGTGATTGGCTCATGTTAATAAGCATTAAATTGCTTCACCGCTCTTTATGACACCCTTATTGCTGTGTCTAATTGCAATATATGTTGGAGCAGACAAACTTCGCTGCTCCTTCTGGCAATAAACCAGTAGCAATTGACTTCACGGGTATGGGTAAAGGTGAGGCTTGGGTAAATGGACAAAGCATAGGTCGATTCTGGCCCGCATATATTGCTCCAAAGAGTGGCTGCAATGAGGCCTGCAACTACAGAGGAGCTTATAATTCCAACAAATGTCTCAAAAATTGTGGAAAGCCATCACAATCATTGTAAGTTTTAATCATTCTAGATTACCCCGTCCGTTTTTATGTACAAGAGGTTTTCTAAATTTTTTTTTTGTCTCTAAATATAAGAGGTTGTTTGTATATTTTTTAATAAATGGACCATTATACCCTTATTAAATGGGAAAGAAAAAAAGATAAATACTCTTTTTAATTTACTTTGAAAAAAAAGATTCATTTTTTATTTACAATAATTAGGGGCAAAATTGAAATGTTGCTATATTTTTAATTAAATAATTGGCTTTTATTAGTTTGTGTGATTCGATTAATCTTAGGGATGAAGGGAGTAGATAACTTAGATATGTAACTATTTCTCATTGGTGACACCAATGATGCAGATACCATGTACCTCGCTCGTGGTTGCGTCCAAGTGGTAACATTTTTGTGTTGTTTGAGGAAATTGGAGGCGATCCAACTCTAATAACTTTTGCCACAAAGCAGATAGAAAGCCTGTGCGCGCATGTTTCAGAATCTCACCCACCACCTGTAGGCTCGTGGAATACAGACGCGGAATCAGGAAGAAAACTAGGGCCCGTACTTTCACTCGAGTGCCCTAATCCTGATCAGGTTATCTCTTCCATTAAATTTGCTAGCTTTGGAACCCCTCATGGGACTTGTGGGAACTTCATCCATGGCCGCTGCAGCAGCAAAAGAGCACTTTCCATTTTACACAAGGTCAGCATCTTGGTATCCCTTCATAAGTTGCTATTCATATCTCTTACTTTCAGTTTTGGACTAACCCAAATGAACTTCACTAGGCCTGCGTTGGATCAAGAAGCTGTAGTGTTGGAGTGTCAGTCGATATATTCGGCAATCCGTGCAGAGGAGTGGCAAAGAGTTTGGCCGTTGAGGCTGCTTGTACATAATCACGCAGCTCCCAGCCTTCACTAGCTACAACCATATATTTAACGTGCTTCTTTAAGTATAGCCAAAGTAAAAAAGGAATTCAACCATGAAAAAGAAAAGAAGTGTAAAACAGTTTAATCTTACTTGCCGAGAATGAAGGCAAGGAAGAAGAAAAAGTTTCAACTGATGGGTTATAAATAAAATAAAACTCAATAACCCTACTTAAGTGGTAGCTTCAAAGTTGTCCTGATGCGTTAGAATGGGCAGCCAAATGGGACTCTTACTCGATGTGCCTTGATTTCACTTTGTGTCGGAAAACTATGCGATTCTTGTTTGATTATTCGAATAGCGTCCAGAAAAGAAGTGATTAATTCGATATTTTTTTTCCTTTCAATGCCCTTGCACTGTATTTCATTTTGTGGCTTTCGACTGTTGAACTGATTTCTTTTTTGGGCCTGAACCTGTTGATTTGCAGTTTTGTTTTTCCTGAATTAGTTACAACTCAGACATGATAACGAAATATTTATTTCTCAAAAACAGGTGGATTATTTTAAACTGGGATAATCAAACCTTCCATTATTGGGAAGAATAAATACAACAATGAGAATAAGAATTGCCAAAAGATGAACAGATGGTTGTTACGTATATTTAGTACATAAAATCTCCACAATCCATATATTAATTAAGAGAACAGTGACGGTGGGCAATATTGGGCGCCCTTATTTTTCTGGCAAAGAATATATTTTCATGTTTTAAAGATTATCAGTATTTAGCGAGGAGTCCTTCATCAGCAGCAAACCCAGATGGTCTCTGGAACCTGCAAACTTTGCAGAAAGGTAAAAACAGAGAAGGAGTTCTGTATTTGTCCTCCCCACCCATCATTGGCATGGGAACCCCTCTCTTCACTGGGCTCACGTAGTCTGGCCTGTAAGTCTTACCCAGAACTCCTTCAACCATATCTGTAAGGTTCTTGAATCTGAATTGTGTCTCCAAATGAGCAAAAGCATCATCTGCAGGCAACTGATAATTGTGCACTCTGTTTTCTTCTCCTCCAATGGGTCTCACCTTAATGTCAATCTCTAACAAGCCTGAAACTTTCACCCTCACACTATTGGCTTCATCTGTTCTTTCCACTTCCACTTCTCTTTCTACACTGTTACTCTTCCATTCAGCATCTTCACCAGTAGGAATGCTCACTGCCTCCCCATCCCACTGTACCATCAAAGAATCGACATTATCGTCCCAGCGAGACACTCTGTTCGCTGCTACAACGAGAGTGTGTGTGTCAAACATGACAGAAATTGCTTGGACCCATGTGAAGTCACGAGTCCTTCCCTGGGGTCTAGATCCGATGAAATGGGCATTGATTTGGAGATTATCGTCAGAAACTATAGCAAAGTCGCCACCTTTGGCTCCATGGAAGTAGAACATGACACCGTCACCGCCAACAAATCGTGGGTCGTAGCAGAGAGATCCATACCCATCACAGTTGGCTTTTCTATCTGCCGACCAAAAAAAAAAATCTCATATTTTAGTACAAGGCTCAGACAAATTTCTAATCGGTTGAATAATTTTTCCTAGTCCCTGAAATTTTAGTGCTTAAGTTAATGAAGAGATAGAACTTACACTTGCAGGTGGCCTCGCATTTGCTGCTGCAGTCAATGAAGCAACCCTTTTGCCTCTTGTTCTTCTTGGGTTTTCTTCGTGGGCACTCGGCTGGGCAAGTAAGGCTCTTATAATAACAAGATCCTTGTGCAAGGCAGAAAGCTCGTTCTTGTCCCGAAGGCAGAGGCGACAGCTTCTTGTAATTGGATGCTTCATCTTTTGATTCCTTCTTTGGCTTTTTCTCCTTTTTATCTTCTTTCTTCTTGTCCTTGACCTTGTCCTCGTCATTCTTCTCCTTGCCTTTTCCATTGTCCTGCCCTTTGCCATTGCCATTGCCAGGGCCTTCACCTTCGCTGGCAGCAATGGCGACTTCCATGGTGACAAGCAAGATGAAGAATGCCAACAAGATGATGACTTTGAGCTTAGCCATCTCTTTGAAATTTGAATATCTGCAATGCTAATCAAGCCTTTGTTTTCTTCCTCTGCTATGGATGATTTCAGACTGCTTCAATATCAACGACAGAGGCGAGATGGAAAAGAATGAGAATAAGAGAGTATTTATAGAGCAAGTTCGGGGCATCAAAAGGTCTAAAATTCCGCCTTAAGCTTTGTTTCTACCAGGTGTAGAATGAACAAGCAAGAAACAGCACCTTACACATACAGTCAATTGAACGCAATTGACTCTCTTTAATTATGCATACATAATTAACAAAAATAAAGCCTTCCAACTTTTGCGCTTGTGGCTCGATGATGAGGATAGGAAGGGGACTTCATTTGCAGTTTACACATTTTCTTTTTCCATGTGGATTAACGTAAAGGTTGTGGTCGGACCACAAAAAAAGCATGCCGTATAAATGAGGTTGATCAGAAAGCTTCGGAGCTCAGAAAGCTTTGGAAAGCACATGAGGATCTGTATTGTATCATAAGAAGCATTCATTCATTACAGTACGACAGATCAGCTGACTCCGAATGCAAGGCATTCATCCTCACCTTGGATGCCGCCGGACCTTGCGACGTCGGTTACCGTCATATTTCCTTTTCTCCATCCTCTGAAAGACAAGGTCTTCCGTCTTACGTTAGTTTTTTGTTCCCGGATTCATGAAAAAAAAAAAAAAGCAAAGAAAGATTTTATTTTCACCACCACACTAATCAACTAATTATAATTAACTTCAGTGATAAATATTCTAGCCACTTAAAAAAAATTATTTACTTAAATTTCAGTCTTTATATATAACAATTTAATTAAAAGAGATAATAATTTCAGTCTTTTAAAAAAAATAATCTATCATTTGCTCTCATATCTCAAAAAAATATATCATATACTATTTGACAAAACATGCTTATTGTGCTTTCCAAAAAAAAAAAAATCTCATATCAACATCTTCTAGAAAAGAGATTTACCTTTCCCCCTCCATAATTGCCTATATTAAATATTAATCATATTTTATTAAATTAGTTTTACGAAGAAAAAATATCACATTGAAATTTTAAATATTAACAAAATATTTTTAAAAAGCTAACATGTTAATTTTAGTTTTTTAAAAAAATAATAATTGATAAAAAATATTTGTAAATTTTTTTTTAGTAAAAGAAAATTATGATATTAACGAAAGCAAAAGAGAGTACAACCATGGCCCCATGGAGAGAGAGAGAGAGAGAGAGAGTGTGTGCATCCAGATTAAAGCTCCCTGACGCCAAGTGTCGGAACTTAAGGTAGAGCCAGTCAAAGTAAACTTTTTGGTAGTGTTTAAAATTACCATGCCTTTTTTTTTAATGAATTTAGTCATATTAGAATTTAAAACTGAAAAATTAGAGAATCAAATATACACTTTTATTAATCATGTATTACTATTTTAGCGCATAAATTCATTTCTCAAAATTTATTAACTCATTATTTATTAATTTTTTTATTAATAGTACTAATAAAAAATTATATCTCTACTTAAAAATTGAATTGAAACAAATCAAAATATAATTATATAAAAAAAATGTATGTGTGTGAGTCTGAGATAAAATATATAGCAAGTTTTACATATTTATAAATCATAAACAATATGACTTATTTTTAAAATTGTATATGATATATAAAAAATAGGTCTTGGGTAAGTGTTCGGTTTTTCATTTTACAATACAAAATTAAAATATGTTGTTGTTACAAAATTATCGTAATACCTATTTTTGAATTTTATAATACTTACTATATCTTTGTAGTCATTCAACATTCTCTATCTCTTATTATTGCAATGTAAATTGCTTGACACACTTAATGGGATGAAGTAGAGAAAAATAAAAATAAAATAGTACCTCTACAATATTCCAAAAATTAAAGGTTAGATTACGTAAAGTAACAAAGAGTAATTGAGTTAATTAATGTGATACGTAGTTAGAGGGATCTAACAAGTGATTTTAGTTGTGATTTCAGCCCTGAATTCGGGCTTGAAGCATAGTTAGGTCACTCAGGTATTAAAAAGGGAGAAAATCCAAAGGAGTGTCTTTGTGCCGCAAGACGAAGCTTGCAGCACATTCGCCGTGGAGCATGTGTAGCCAGTTGTAAAGAAGGAGCCTCTCTACACATGGTCAAAATTCTACAAAAATAACTTCATGTCTATTCAAAAACTTAGAAGAAAGAAACAAGAGAAAACGAAGAACACACTACTTACTCTATTATGCTACTAGTTTGAGGGCCATTGGAGATATTTTAGCCTAATATTAAATGTAAGTCCATCATGCCCTCCATTTCCATCCTCCTTTTATTTTTTTTAGATTGGAGTTAGGGTTTGAATGAAAAAAGTGATTTTTAGTTTATATGAGTTATGAGTCCAAACCTATTGACTTAAACAGAGTTGGTGAGAGTTGTTTAGGTTATTTAAATATAGTATTGAGAATCTTACAAATGTTTGGTTGGTGAGTGTCATAAATAGCCAAATTTTGCATTTATGGAGGTGGTTGAAGGTGTTTTGAAGCCATTAATGATAGTTTAATGGCTCATTCATGACAATATCGGTTATAGAAACCTAATAAATCTAATGGGTCTATTAAAAAGTGAGAGATTGTATTTTATATGAGTTAGAAAAGCTGAGTGAAGTGTTGAAATTACCCCAATAAAGATATTAATGATTATCCTTATGATTAAATTGTAGACTAACTAATTTGGTATCATTCAAGCTCATCGAGAGCTTTGAAAATTTATGTTTTGAGGGGTAAACTTTTAACTTTTAAAGGTTTAAAATAACTTAGAAAAATTTAATTGTTATAATTGCTTGTTAATTAACTGTACATTAAAAGAAATTGTGACAAAGACTAATTTGTGTTTGATGAAAATTTAGCAATGTAATAAATTATGAGTTATGCAAGTATGTGTATGGATTGATATAAAATGGTATATATGTTATACATGTGTTAGTGATGCTAATGGTTAAGAGCGTGTGTGCGTGTGGGTGTATGTGTAAAAATGAATAATATGAGATGTTGTGCTTGATGAGATATGTGGAGCATGATGGAGATAATATGTGATTAGTATGATATGATGTGATAGTTGTCAATATTTTTGCATGCTATGTATCAATGCATGCATAACATGATCATTATGGTAGGCATCGCCTAAAGAGAGGAATATGTTAAATCTACATGGTAATGGAAACTTATCGTTGGAATCAGAAGTTAGCTAGCTGCCAACTATTGAAATCAAGAGGTAGTCATTGTCTCATAGTTTATTAAGAACTATCTCACTTGTTCTTCGAGAGACTAGAACCTAACTAATTTTCACTAGTCATAAGGATGCTGGATTAGGGTGCGACACCCCATCATTGTTAGTATTGGGGAAAACCACAGATCACAAGTAAGTGAGGTAGCCTTGGTTAGGCAGCTTCTCACAAGTAGAAGGCTTAGTTAGTCCAACTTATGGACACGACCATTAAATAGCCATCAGTTTCATGTCAAAGGTATCAAGAATGTATGAAATTGGCATTGGTCATGCATTTCCTATTTATCAACCATATAGTTGTTATTATTGTGATCCGATATGATTTGATAGGGGCACATAGTTGTTAGTGTTGTCACCTCATATTTATGGTTGTTCATACATATTATGAGATGATTTGTGCTTGTGCTCGACCACATGATTGTTAGTGTTGTGGTTGTGGCAATCTTTGAAAAACAACAAAATTTTTGAAAGAATTATTATTTCCATTTGCATTTAAAAGAATTATTATTTTCATTTGCATCTATGATTGATTGATATGCAATTATATAGGTTAGATTGACATTAGTTACTGAGTGGTTGTACTTACCCCTCATTTTTTAGTATTACAGGGATTAGCTCATCTGATCAAGATTAAGGGAAAATGACTTAAGGCAAATAATTTCAAGCAATCCTAACTGCAAGCCTCTTGTAGTGTTATAGTCATGTGTAATTTGATTTATAATTATCAACTAGGGTATTATATGATTTATTTTGACTATTTGCACTAATTGTGATTGATTCGAACGTGTATTTTATAATTTGTAACCTAAGTTGTAAGAAATGCTACTATAAAGTTTTAATTTGGTTAAAATACTAGTGTAAATAGGGAATTGTGTAGATAATTGAATATAACGGTTATTATGTTGATTTATGAGAATTTGGCTCTCCCTTATCTTTTTGTGACTTAAGGGGTTAACCATTGAAAATATGACTTATGTGTGATTGATTGGTTGTGATATGTTGCACAAGTCTGTGATAGTTCATTGAGTGTGGTCTAAGGGCTAGTATGAACTTTTGAAACGTATATTGTGGAATGGACACCTTGGTTGTGTGATATTATGAAAAAGGAATGGTTTTGTAATGAGTGCCCCACTTTTGATTGAAAAATGATTTGATTGTAAGAAAGGTCTCTGTAACACCTAGATCACCTCAATCGAATGTCGAATGAAGAAATAGGGCATATTAGAAGTTTTGCCCTAAAACGTTCTTATGACAACAAGGATAATGTCAAATTTATGCAATGCGCCAAGGTATATGGTGTAAAGGCAATATGCCAAGGCGTGTTTGCAACATGCTACGATGCACCTGTACTGTTTTGTTGAAAACAATGTTTTTCAACTTCCTTTGCAAATGTTTTGTTATAAAAAGATATCTCATGCTTCCATATATGTTGTTAACTCATATTTGTGAATAATAGAAATTATTTGAGAGTGCTTTGAATTGAAAAAGCTTGGGATCTTACTTTTGTAAATTGTATGAATTTGGTAATCTTTTTAGGATTAGTCCTTTAATTACCTTGATTTTGGAGTTAATTATAATTTAGTAAGGATAGCCTTACTTATTATTTAGAGATTTTACAACCTCTATCTATGTAGGATTTATATGTGCGAAAATAAATCCAACTATTCTTTTTCTAACTCTCTTTGCCTCATCGATATGAACTACATGTTTGGATAAGCTCTTTAATCAATTCTGCAAGCCTAAAACCTTGGGTTTGGAATAAAAACCCAAACACCCCAAAAATATGTTAGAGAATCCAAATTCTATTAAAATCATTTTCTAAAACAAGAATAATTTTTTCCTTCTATAATTTTCATTTTATATATCAAATGAAACATTAGGTTGTGGTAAAACTATCAATTAGGGCTGAACTCTTTTAAACTTGAAAAAAATCCAAGGTCAGATCACTACTTTAGCATATAAATAATAAATTAGATTAAAAAGGGCTAGTCCTAGCCCTCACACACACACACACACACACACACACACACACACACACACATTTTAATTTGGGAGAATTTCAAATAAGGACTATAGATATGAAATAATTACTAGTGGGTCCTAAAAAAATTTAAAATTTTAGTTAAATCTAGGGGGATAAAAATAAAAATAATTTCAACTGTAAATAGATCAAAATACCCTTTACTTGTTATATAAGATAACTAGTTATTTTCTTACTTCATTTGTTAATTTACTAATATGAGTTGCAAATTATATGAATTGACATGTCAATAACTATAAGCAGTTGTTCAATCATAAACAGTAATAT